ATAACTGTTACTTGGCTCTATTTCTGTCATCCATTGTTTATCTTGTTTTTTAATCATACTGTCTCATCTTTTCATGTGCTTTTGCTTTTTTTATTATATGCACAACGTTATGTTTGAAAATTTATAGAAGTAGTTCGAGACCCAAGATGATGCTGTCTGCCTCTGAGAAAATGTTCATTTGCTTATATAATTTGAAGCAGGATTCAGCCCCTATGCAAGCTGGACTATTTCTTGTTTATCCTTATTCCTGGGGTGTAGACTTATGAGGTCCCAACACAAAGGTTTACTAGAGCCTCTCATTTTTGGCAATTCCTGAACTCTAACTTTTGTCTCTCTAACCCCTCAAAATGATCAAAATCTCTTCTGATAAAGGTAAAGAGCTGGGGGGAGTTGTTGTGAATATATCCTTTAAAAAATATATAGCATGAAGGATTCCTATGGTATGGAACTGTTCTGTATCTCGAGTGTGGTAGCGGTCGCAAGAATTTATAAATGATAAAATAGCATAGCACAGGTCAATGCACACATACACACATGTACATGTTAAATTGGTAAAATCTGAATAAGGTTGGTGATTGTATCAGTGTAAATTTCTCAGTTGTGCTATTGCATTGTGGGTATGCAGTTGTTACCATTGGTGAAACTAGATGAGGACTACATGGGATCTCTGTGTATTACTTTTTTGTAGACATATACATACATGTTTATATGTGTGTGAATATATCTATAACAAGAAATTTACCATTTTAAACAATGTGAACAATTTTTAGGTGTACAATTCAGTGGCATTAAATATATTTACAGTGTTATACAACCATCATCACTATTGCTTCCAAAACATTTTCATCATCCCTGATAGAAACTCTGTCCCCATGAAATAATAACTCTTTCTTCTCTCTTGCCCCCAGTTCCTGGTAGCCTCTCTTCTACTTTCTATTTCTTTCTTTCCTTTTTAAAGAATTATTTACTTAAATTTAAAAAAATTATTCATTTATTTATCTTAATTTGATCAGAAAGAGACACAGAGAAAGAGAGAGGAAAAGTGAGAAAGTAAGCCCCAAGTCCGGGACTCAAACCATGGTTGAACATGTGGGAGTGTCCAGTGGTTGAACCACCATGCCACCATCTGACCCCTATTTCTTTCTTTTCTTTTTTTGTAGTTTTCACTATAGGGCATGTATGCTCACAGGAGAGAGACACAGAGAGACAGAGAAAGAGGAAAAGTCAAATATAACCTCTCAGGGGAGATGGCCACGTTGCAGTCCCGTCTCCTGCATTGACCTCTCAGGATTTGGAACATGCACACACACGTGCCTGGTGTGATTTTCAAGCTACTGGGTCTGGGTCTTGAACTGCTCATCCAGCCATGTGGGATGAAGCGCCTTAACCTTCGTGTCATCTGCAGGCTCCTTTACTTCCTATTTCTGTGAATTTTTCTATTTTAGGCACGTCATATTAGTGGAATCACACAATATTTGTCCTTTTGTGTCTAGCTTATTTTACTTAACAATGATTTTATGCATGTCATGGCATACGTCAGAATTTTATTCCTTTTTTTTTTTTCTTTTTCTGGAGAGGTTATTTTGCTATAGGGCACGTGCGCTCGCCAGACAGACAGAGACAGAGAGATAGAAAGCGAGAAATCACCCCCCAGTGGGGATGGCCATGCCACAATCCCTTCTCCTCCATTCTCTTCTTGGGATTTTGGGCACGCATGCACACGCGCCTGGCGTGAGTTTAAGCCACTGGGTCCGGAACTTGAACGTGGTCGACTACGTGGGAGTCCAGCGACATAGCCATTATGCCAACTGCTGGTCCCCAGAATTTTATTCCTTTTTAAGGTTGAAAAATATTCCATTGTATGAGTACCTTTTGTTTTTTGTTTATTTATTTATCTGTTGATGAATATTAGGGTTATTTCACCTTTTGGCTATTGTGAATAATGCTGCGATGAACACTGGTATACAAGGATCTGTTTTCTTTCTCCTTCTTTTTTTTTTTTTTTTTAAATTTCCAGAAGGCACATGTGTCCATTAGAGAGGGAAAAGCATCTCCCCATGGGACATGATCACACCACAATCCCTTTTCCTCCATTTCTCCATCCCATCAGGATTTTGGGCATACGTATACACACGTCTGGCATGCTTTTCAGGCTGTTAGGCCAGGATTCAGACCACGATCAGCCATGTGAGGCCAGCTTACAACGTCTGTTTTAATCTCTGTTTTCAATTATTTTGGGTATGTATCTACAAGTGGAATTGGGCTCATATGATAATTCTGTCTATAACTTTTTGAGAAACTGCCAAACTAATTTCTGCAGTGGCTGTACCGCTTTTCATTCTCACCAGCAATGCACACGCTTTCTGATTTTTCACATTCTCACCAATACTTCTTTTCTTTTCTTTCTTTCTTAATAGTAGCCGTTTTAATGGGTTCAAGATGGTATCTCATTGTGGTTTTGATCTACATTTCCTATTGAGCAACTCTTTAGATCAGTAGGGGGAAAGTTGCCTTCAATATCTAATTTATCTCTGTGGGCTTCCTTCTTCTAAATCTTCATGTCCTTCACTCCCTTTTTAGTTCACCAATGCCTTCAAAGAGCTTTAGTTGTAAACATTTGTCTAGCTTTTCTAGCTGTTCCTTTTTTTTTTTTATTTTGGAGAGGTTTATTTTTTTGTTTTGTTTTGTTTTGTTTCTTTGCTATAGGATGCTTGTGCTTGCCAGAAAGACAGAGAGAGACAGAGACAGAAAGTGAGAAATTTCCCCCCAAGGGGGTTGGCCACACCACAATCCCTTCTCCTCCATTCTCCTGTCGGGATCTTGGGCATGCACGCGCGCACACATGCCCGGTTTTAGTTTAAGCCACCCAGTCCAGGACTCGAACCGTGGTCGATTACATGGGAGTCCAGAGACATAGCCATTACACCAACTGCTGGTCCCTCCATTTTTTTTTTTTTAAGAAATATTTCATTTAACTTTATCTATCTATCTATCTATTTATTTATTTTAATTTGACCAGAGAAGGACAGTGTGAGAGAGAGGGAAGGTGAGAAAACAAGTCACCAGGTCTGTGACTCGAACCACGTTTGGCCACGTGGGAGTCTAGCACCCTTAACCCCCATGCTACTGCCCCCATTTTTTTCTTTTAAGAGAGACTTTTGCTATAGTGTGCAGTTGCCAGAGAAACAGAGAGACAGACAGAAAGTGAGAAATCACCCCCCGGTGGGATAGCCACACTGTAGTCCCTTCTCTTCTAGTCTCCTCTTGGGACTTTGGGCACATACACACATGCACTCAGTGTGAGTTTTAAGCCACTGATTCTGGAACTTGAACCATGGTCGACTATGTGGGAATCCAGTGACATAACCATTATGCCATCTGCCAGTCCCTCTAGCTATTTTTATTGGGAAGGCTGATCCACATTATCTAATCTCATATTATACGAAGTCTCTTTTGTTTAGCTCTGGTTTTGCAAAAGAAAAACAAGTTTAAACTTGTTTAAAAACCATTTTTAAGAGCTACCTCTCTGTCAAAAAAAAAAAAAAAAAAAAAAAAAAAAAAAAAAAAAAAAAAAAAAAACCTCCACTCCTCTCTGTGAAGTTTAAGAATGGCACTAAACCTTTACTCAGTAAAAACATTTCCAGACAATACAGAAATAATACAGATTGAGTATAAGGGAAATGGCACGGTTTTTTTCACCATCTTATAGTATTTCAGGAGAGGAAAATGTAGCTAAAACACAAATTGTCAGGAAAAAATGCACTTATTTTATTGGATTGTCGGAAAAGTCATGATGCATTTTTGCATAGAAAATATAGAAAAATAATGTCATGACTTTTCTGATGACACAATATTTGTGTGTTCTGCTTAAACATTATCTCTGCACATAGGGTGTGTTACGCATTCCCAGGATCACCCTTAAGTTTGATGATTGCCTAGAAGGACTCATAGGACTCAGCAGATAGTCATGCTCATGGCACTGAGAGGTACAAAGCAAAATCAGCAGTGGGAAAGGCACATGGGCTGAAGTCTGGAGGAAACAAGGTGCATGCTTCTAAGAATCCTCTCTCTCCCAGTAGAGCCACAAGTACATACTTAGTCCTTCCAGGAACTGGTTGTGACAAGTATGAAATGCCTGTCACAGAAGCTCACCCAAATCTGATGGGTGGGGTATTTAATGGGGATCACTCACATAGGCATACAGGCTCTACATGACTAATCTCAGTTACTGAAGTTCCAGACCCCCAAGGGAACGTACATGTTCGTTATAAATCACATTGTTAGCATTAACTATCTGGGCAAAGTAGTACAGTGTGACTCAAGAGTTCTTGCATGCAGAAAACACTCTTATAAGACAGAGCATCCCAAGTTCTCAGTTCCTAGGAGCCAGCCAGAGGTCATTTATGAAAACAGAACTTCCTTGAAAATGTTCAGAGTTTGTGCAACCCAGGCCTGCTGAGTTGACTCTTTTTTTCCCACACAGGTCTACCCTGACCAAACCTGAAGAAGAGAACACCTCTCGTTACTCTCATCCCTCAGACCTTTGGTTATTTAATTATTTGTTTATTTGATGCTAGTTAGATAAAAAATATTTTCTAATTTTTTAAGTTTGTTATCATTCTTCCACTGGACTACAAGTTCCATGAAACTAGACTTGACTTTGTTTACTGTTGTATTTCCACATAATAAAATAATGCTTAGCCTGTAGTAGGCACTCGGCAAATATAAGGGGACTTCAAAAAGTTTGTAGAAAAATGAAATTAAAGTGTGAGTTTACTTTGGTGCCCCCAAATTTTTGAAATACAGGCATTCTTTTTCATCATGTACGTTTTGGGTGAACTTTCTGAAGACCTTCTTTGTTAAATAAATTAATAAATGGAAATTTTAATTTATGTAATTATTTAGGAATGCCAATAATGTTGACGGGATCTAAATTATTGGGACATACTACTGTTCTATGAATGACTATTTTTCCCTGTTTCTTTTTCTCTCCCTAACAGGTCTATAATTCAGTAGCCAGATCTTTCCC